AGAGAATCTGCCCAAAACAATTTACCAAATAGTTTACCAAGGCACAGTTTACCAAATAGTTGCAATATGAGAAATGTTTGTTTTAGTTTCAGAATACAAGGATGCCAGTAATCACAAATATTTATATGTTATTGTAATGGAAGCCCTAAGCAATACAATAAGAACACAAAAAGAAATAAAAGGAATAAAATTTTAAATAATGAAACAAAACAGCAGATGCCATGATTATCTATAGGGATATGTATTATCGAAATAAAACAGATTAACAGAATTTCCGGATTTAAGATCAATATGTAATAACTACATAGTCTCTAATAATCAGTGGCATACATTAGTAACAATTTATTATGAAATATGATTTAAAATGTTCTAGTCTTAAGAGCACAAAGCTTTATCAATATTTAGATATAAACCTAATGAACTTTATGAAAACTTCTATGCGGAGAATTATAAGACATCGTCGAAAGGCCATAGGAAATACTGAAGAAATGAAAAAGAAGCATCATCTTTATGGATTGGGAGAATCAAGATCATAAAGATTACCATTTTCCCCCAATATGATCTGTACATGCAATGAAATTGCTTTCATAATCGTAACGCAAATATGGCATTTTATTTATCTATTACTTGTGTCAGTACAAACTGACACAAACCAAATTTGTGGTCCCCAATGACTACAGTAATTCTGTTTCTGAAGTACTAGAATGGCTATTTTTATAAAACACAGATTGGATTGCGTGATCCTCTTGCTTAAAAATTTTACCAGGCCCTCAAAATTTTCAGGATAAAATTTAAAATCTCAGAAAACAAATCCCAAGCTTTTGTGGTCTGACCCAGGCCTCTCTTGAATTTTGTTTCCTGCCTTCCTCTCCACCTACCCAGGACTCTGGAGTCCCACACAAGCTTTTGTAACACTGACGGTGTCCTTCATAAAGGCTTCAGTGCCAGAGGCATTTGGGTCTGGTCTGAGAACAGTACGGTGGGACAGTGTTGGTGTTGTTTCTGGCCGCACACTGTCTAAGGCTAAATTCCAGACCCCACTGGAGATTTTTTAAACTGCATAAATTTAGACTAACTTGATATATCATGTTCTGATATTTGCACGTAAACCCCTGAGCAACAGAACAATGCCCTTCAGTCTACTTCCTAGATAATAATTTAAGTGCCTCAAAGGTTCTATAGCATTTCCCCAAATATAGGATTAAAAATGGGAGAGTATTGTGTATGCAGGGCTGTTCTTTTCAGAATAGTAAGTGGAGGATTAGGAATAGAGACATTTTTAGGGAAGGCATGATGGATCTCATGGACCTGTACAGAGCCAGATTGCTAAAATGTACAATTATAGCCTACAAAACAAAAACAACAACCAAAAAACAAACAAAAACAAAAGAAAACACAGCCCAAAAATACCCAAAAGAAAAAATCTGAGATAGAAGAGACGTTAAAATTTACAGGGAAAAGTTAGCTATTAAGACTTAAAAAAAAAAAAAAAAAAAAAGGCAAGGAAAGTTGATTGAGGAATAAACCCAGCAAATGACACCATCTAGAAATCAAGAGAAGAGCAATCTCTTGTCCTTGGCCTTTTGGTCCAGCTCACAGATTTAGCACCAAATGCTCCTGGAAACCAGGAAAAGATAAAACAAAAAGAGATTAGTCTGAAACGTTTACGAAGTCTACCTGCTAATAAAAAAAAGTGGGGGGGATACTACAATATCTGAAAAAACATATTTTATCACTTAAACTAAAAAAAAGGTTTGCCTTTTCCTTTTATTATCTCATTTTATACAGGGATTGGCAGAAATATTTGGAATACAATTCCAAAGCCTTCATCAGATACATGCCCCAAATTATTTTAACAACCAGAAACATCAGATTTTGGCAAACGTTTGTTCATTGCACTGAGATGAGATTTATGGTGAAGCTTCTTTACTTCTCCAGTTAAAGAATTTAAGAAAAGTGTAAATACAGTGAGATCAGGAAATACATGCTAGTTCTCTCCCCCTGCAAACTTCAATGACCTATGTGTTTGCACAGCGTGGAATCCAGTGTCTGGGGCTGCTGGCAAGCATGAGAATGAGGGCTCACTTTTCTATATGCCCAGAATTGCTTCTGTATGTAAAAATGGTTGACAGAACTTCTTCTGGAAATGGAATGTGAATTTTTAAAGAAGCTTTGAGATATAAATCATGGATAGAAATACGATGCATGTACTGAGAAATTCAACTTCATATTTGGGTTATAGGATATGGGTTTTAACTGCTGAATTACCACTAATATTGAAGGCAATGGTTGGAGGTTAAGTCCTTTGACAGTCTCTGAGGTGGTCTGAAGCCCAAACACCAGGCATCTGGGTGGTGCAAGACCCTGGGATAAGCTGACACAACTCTGAAATCTGTGTGGATTTCATGTGAGTATAAAATCTACCGCTTGAGTTATGGTTTGACAGATGTGTTGACTATATTCCCTAATACCACCACCCCCATCCGCACTATAAATTAAAAAATGCAAGTAGTATTATCTACTGTTTTTCAAAAAAATCTAAGGAAAGGATAATTTCAACACAATTTGGAATACTGTCAAATAATAATACACATTTCTTAAACTTTTATAGGAAACCTTTTCTCTCAGTTGTTTTTACCTCATATTATTTATATTTGTTCTCAGTTTTAAACAGATATGTAAAATTAATATTATACTAATTTCTCAAGTAGATACATTGAGGCATAAACAAAATAAAGGTGATAATACATGTCTCTTAAAGGGGCTTACTGTGAATTTGAGGCAAGAAACCAAGTTTCTGGGGCGCCTGGGGGGCTCAGTTGGTTAAGTGTCTGCCTTTGGCTCAGGTCATGATCCCAGGGTCCTGGGTTCCCTACTCCCTGGGAAGCCTGCTTCTCCTTCCCCGCCCCCACTCCTGCTCTCTCTGTCACTCTGCCACATGCGCACTCTAATAAATAAAATCTTAAAAAGAAAAAGGAAATCAAGTTTCTCACCCCTTTATTCAATGCTCTTGCCATTGGCTCAATGTATCCCCAACAGAATGAGGATTGTAAATGAAGAACTTTTGACAGCTGCCACCTTATGCACACCTAACACCTCAATACACCAGGTACACTCACTACAGCCACTTAAAACTTTCATATATCTTTTTATTTTAGATTTATATTTTAGCCAACAAAAATACCACTCCTGAATTTTAAGTTCAGCCACGGAAAGAAGAATTACTTCTTCTAGTAGTAAATATAAATCGTACCTAGTCCTAATTTGGGTCATGCCTAACAAATTATCAGAATTTGTAAGATTTATTCCCCCCATACTATGCATCATTTCAACAGTAAGTTGGCCTTTATTCTGTCATTTAACATTTTTTTAAGAGTAAAAGGAAAACTAAATTTAGTAAGTTTATGTACAGTTTACACTTACCAATAACGTATCTAAAGACACAAGAAGCAGATTTTTACCTTGGGTAACTACTTCAGCTCATCAGAACGTACCTGTTGAAAGAGATTCCCCTTAAAAATTGGATGCATTTTATTGAGGTTTAGGAACAACATTCAACAGAGCTTTAAACTGTGAAGATTCCCATGAAGGAAATAGGTCAACTCTAGTACCAAACAAAAGACGTTAGATTGATGTGTTCCAACCTCAAAGGAATTTACTGGATACGTTTTCTTTTGACTAAACTTCATAGCCTAGGAGGGCCAAGGTTTTCTGAATTGATTTTTGAGTCATTTTGTTCCACGATATTAACAACAAGGAAGGAAAAGGAGGAATTTCACCACATTTAAGTTAAAATAGGAAAACCATAACTACAAAGGTGTGTATGGGGTTGGTAGGGGGAGAGTTTTGAAGATTACAAAGGGGAAGGATGTGAAATATTTTACAACGGCAGTTGTCCTAACAGGCTGCCTGATGAGGGAAATAAATTAAAACCCTTATAGGTGGAGGAAACACTTACATAATCATTTGAGTGTACTTGGTTTTGAATGATCTCATGATAAAGGTCCCGAGGAGCCCACAAACACACCACAAAGGAGTCATTTTACACCAGGACTCATGAGTAGCAACTGTTTCTTAAAAGAAAACAAATTTCTGTTCAGGGAATTTGAACCACTCCAAAGGGTTTAATGACATGCAGGGGTTTGTAGGTCAGTCACATCTGTTCTGAAATGAAATGCTTCTTCCTGTTTCTAAATTGACTAACCCTTAACCCCATTAGCCCTCACATCTCAAAACAGAGATGATTCCTGTTTCATGGGCTGTCCAACAGTCAGGGTCCTTATGTTTATTCCAGCACATGGAACTCATCAGCTTTATTCTTCTTGTTCCATCAGCAAAGTGAAGGAAGGTGTAAAAGAAGAAAGCAACAAATAAAGTCTGCATTGGGTTTGACAGTTCTGATCATTATGTCTTGTCCACATGGGTATCTGTGGAATAGAAAAGCATCTAAGACAATAGCCAGCACCTTTCCAAGGAGCAGAGTTCCTCCTATTTTCCTTTCCTGAAGTCATTAGATATCCATTGTTGTGCTGAGTGTTCTCTGCATGAAATGAAAGGGAGTCAGTCTAAGAGGGGCAAAAAGGAGTCCCCTGGTTGCCTCAGAGGCTGTGCCTCAGTGTGAGCGTGGGCTGCTTTGTGCATAGAATACACCAGAAGATAGAGGTATGGCTGTTCCCCAGAGTCTAATTTGCAAATGTAACAAGTGGTTTGAAAAATCCTGAAGAAAAGAAGTAAAATGAAAAGTAGGCACTAAAATGAGGACAGGCCGAAAAGCGAATGCTTAGAGGAAAATGAATGGTAGGGGGAATTCACATATTTTATAAAGTGATAAGCGACTTTCCTGATGCTAAGGAAGAAAGACCTTTTTTTATGTTGCAGGCGTGAGCTGCTCCCTTGTACCATGTTCCCTACAGACTTTTTTTTTTGGTACAAATAATGAAATGGTAGCTAGGGAGAAAGAAACGAGCCCCGCCCCACGTGCTTCATCTCCCGGATTTTACCTGTGAGTACACGAGGTTTTGCCAGTGCTGCACGGTGGGGTAATTCCCCCCTGGAAACCTCGCCAGGCTGGCTTGAAGAAGAGCTGAGCTCCTTGTGAAAGACTTCACATCGAGCTGCAGGAATTTGTCAGGATGGTTGTTGTTTGGCAAAACGGAGAGATCCATGTTCCCCTTCTTCTGCGCCGGAAAACAAAGGAAGTGAGGCTGCTCTCTCCAGACTTGTCCATTATTAATGAGCCCGAGGACGCTCCAACTGGCATCTGAAACCAGGTCTCTCAGCTACACTGGGAGCCACTCTTGAAATGATGTATCAACACACAAGAACAGTACAGCATGCTGCCTTGCCTTTCACACAACACACACACACACACACACCTGCATTCACGGTGCTTAAATGGGACAGATGGGGCTACACTCATCAAATTTAACAAAATGCCAAAATTCGCTATGTAGCACTAAACGTTTCTCTGTACAGCATCGGAAAGAGCAGTTCAAGAGGAACTATTCTCTGGATAATGGAGACTGCCAGCATTTCCGTGTCACAGTCCATAATTGGAGACCATGAAATATCACCTGTAAGGGAGCGATTACTTAGTTTTTCTCTCTGAATGTCGCCAAGCTCACCAGCTGGCTTGGCCCTGGCCCATGCAGTCTCCCACGTGACATGCAGGATCTTGTTTCTTTTTCTGTTTGGACTCCAGAGTCTTGGGCTCCTGTGAAACCTGACCATGTTTAGGTTGTCAGCTTTGGTCTGAACTGAGAAATGGCAAGAATTTGCTATAGGGTTTGCCATAGTAATTTAGCCCCCCAATCTACTGCCTTGACCCATTCATGAGCTGAAGTTTCCCTGGCTCTCTCCAGAGCTACATAATCTCCTTCGGTGTGTTTTGCTGTGCATACAGTACACTTGGAACCAGAGGGGATCATGGCTGCTGGGTTTGGACGAGGTGCTGTCCTAAGTGAACCCATCTGCGGTTCAGAGAGCCAAGGTGGGAGTGAGGCTGCGGACTGTGTACAGGGAGTAGTGATGACTTTAATGGAGATAAGCTCTCACATTTCAAGCTATTCTTTCTTGGGCAACCCATAGTTCTCATTGGGAAAGTATGGATTTCCATCTAGAAGAAGAGGAAAACTTCCCACCGTGAGAAGGCAAAGGATAGACATATCAGCCGTTTGAAAAAGACATAGGTTGTTTGTTACGTGTGCACCTCTGCAAACCCATCTGATTCAGCAGGAAGTTTTCTCTTCCAGGGGTAAATGGGGTCACATGTGGAAGGTATCAGCACCAGATTTCAGAAGAGTGCCATATAGCTTACAAGAAGCAGCAGCCAGAATATTCTCAAATCAAGCAAGGCACTAGAGAGTACTTACCTTCTTTATAGCAATAAACATGGGGGAGTTTAAAAAATATATATCATGTCCTACTTACAGTTGGAAAACTGGATTAAACAATCAACGTTTTCTGTAATAATTATTTTTTGGACCCAAAGTCTTTCACCGACTTATAATATTTCCACACATACATTTGAGGGGGGGTTAACAACATCTTTCCTGGAGAAATTAAGAGGTCCTTCCTAATGACAGTTAACAACAAAACAGTTAAATCACAAGTGCTTCAAGAATCCAGTGTATTACGAGCATGTGCAAGCACTGGGTACTTTCTGGATTCTCCTGGCGGCTGCCAGAATCCATCTAATGAATAAATATTTCTCAGGCTGTTTGCTTTTCCTAAAAGATTCTTCAGGGAATAACACACATCTTCAAGAAGAACCTTACTTCTCTTTGGCTTTCTGTATTGGCAAGTGGAGACAAAGAACCCAGATCCAAATATATTTGATTAGGCCTTTTCCTTAGCCAAAGTATGAGGTAGGTGAAATGAGACTTCAGTTTTCCTTAGGCATCCTTCCTTTAGATCCCTCCGCTGTGCTCTGGATGCCTGGAGGCTTGTGCACGGTCTCCTTCTGTTTTTAGGTTTAGTTTCAGACTCTCCATTTTCTTTCACCATCTTCCATGTAGGTAGCATGCATGACAAAGAGTTGAAAAATCAAAATTTCTTCTCTCTCTCCTGCTACCGGCCATCTCTTCCCCATCCCTGGTTTCTACCTCCAGCCTAGCCCAACCCGGCCCACTCTGTGCCTCTGGTAATGCCAGTTCTTCTGCCTGGAAACATTTCTTCCCAACTCTGGCTGTCAACCACCTCCTCATCATCCTTCACGGGCCATTGCCGATAACTCTCTGCTCACAAAACCTTGAGGCATTTTCCCAAGTAGGTATGGTTTCCCCCTCCTTTGAAATCTTAGAGTGATTTGTTTATGCTCTCACCTTACTGTCCTTCATGATGATGTATTTCATACTTTCCTTTTATAAGCCCTACCCCAGATGATACATTACCAAAGGGCAGCCCTTTTGGATGCTTCCTGCCCCATGAGTCATGTCTGAAGACCCTCATGAAGTCCTTTGCTTGATAAATAATGATGGCAGTTGTTTTTTCCCAAAGCCCTAGGAAGGGCTCTACTCTGGTTGGAAATTGATAATCCAATTAAATTTGATTAAAAAAATGACTTAGTGCTCTTTTCCAAGCTCAGTGAAAAATAGACTATTGCCAAAAATGTTTATGACATACTCTATATTCTCTTCTGGTAGTTTATGAGGCACAAGCTCACACTGAAGGCTCTGAGAAGTTCTGCTTTGATAAGTCCAGCATTGTCCAAATTTATTTGGTCATATAACACCCATTTTATTGTTTTCCTTTTAACTCTTCAAAAAATTTACCTGAGTGTAACTGGACATATATTGGGTCAGGGTTTTTATTTCCTTATTGTCATTAGTAACTTCAGTCTCGAGTGACAACTGTCATAAATACAAAGAGCTCTAATTGCAGGGAAATCTGGTGGAAATATGCATACCTGGGCCTTCTCAACCCTTAGCATGCAGGTAATCATTTGGTCTTTTTCTTTATAACACATTTTTATAAAAGTATCTTTTCCTCTTGGATTTGGACCCAGAATTACTGTTTTTTGAAACATGGGAATTATAAAAATAGACTTAAATATGGTTCACTAGGCAAAATTGTTTACGTACTAATTAACCATATTTTCTTCTTTTCCTGTCCTCATTCTCTCCTTTTTCCCCCTCTTTTCTCCTACTTCCCTTCCTTGCTCACTCCCTCTCTGGTTGTACCAAGAACCAACTGAAATAGCTGTAAGAACGTCCCTCTGAAAAGCCTATACAATGTCTGGATGAGCAGCTGGGGTTCATCAAATTATTGGAGAGTTTGAAAATTACTTGGATAGCTTTGACTATGAAGAAAGCCTGTGACTAGCTTATGAATCATTTTTTTCTATTACCAAACATCCTCCACATTGGTGAACAAAGGAGGTGATAAGGAAAACGGAGTGCACAGAAGTTGGAGTCAGAGTGGCATCCTATTCAACTGTTTTCTTGGGCAAGTTATGGAATCTCTCTAAGCCTGTTTCCTCACCTATAATGTGAGGATAACAATAGTACCTTGTAAGGTTGCTGTGAGGTTTTACAGGTAAAGTGGTTAACAGAATGGTTAGCATACATTAAGGGCTTAAAAAGCGTTATTTCGAGTGGATAAGAATATATATTTTTATTTCACTTGTCTCATAGAAAACTGAAAAAAAAAAAAGAATTAAAGTCATACAGCCATCTTCAATTAAAAGGCATACTGCATTTCCCAGAATTTCCTTATTTGTGTGATTCTGTGTTAGAACTGGCCAAAAGAGGAACTTCATTGAGATTTGGACAGCAATACGAAATAGCACCCCTTAATCTGAAAGTCTTTTTGCAGTCAGGTGCGGTAAGAGACAGAGGCAAAGGGGTCTGGCAGGTTCCGACTGCCTTTGCTTTCTTTTCTTTTCTTTCTTTTTTTTTTTTTAAGACTTTATTTATTTATTTGACAGACAGAGATCACAAGTAGACAGAGAGGTAGGCAGAGGGAGAGGGGGAAGCAGGCTCCCTGCCGAGCAGAGAGCCCGATGCGCTTGATCCCAAAACTCTTGAGATCATGACCTGAGCTGAAGGCAGACTTAACCCACTGAGCCAGCCAGGTGCCCCCTGCCTTTGCTCTCTTGAGTTCTGTGTCCATTGCTGCTTTCCAACTGTCAGTCCTGTTGGCCAAGAGCAAGATTAGATCTACTACCAGGAGTTTGGCCACATACCCACAAGGAGGAAGCTACAGAGGCAACCGCATCCCACAGACCTCTTAACAGATTATCCCTTCTTACGTGGCTACTCTGATTGGTCGGCGGCTACTCTGATTCTCTAACTCTGCTTATGGGTCTTCACTTTCCCAGTTCCTCCTGCAGTTGTGTGAATTCAAATCCGGTGAATGATAAAACTGGGTTTTAAATTCACAGTTCAAGGTTTAAGTTGGGACCCAGAAAGCTTCTTTGACTATCTTCAAATAAAACCTTTTAAACTGTACTGCCAATGTGTCACCATTTGTCATGTCTTATAAATCCAAATGCAGATTCAAGTCCTAGAAGATTCAAGGGGACCAGTAGAAAGCAGGACATGTGAGGTGTTATGCACGTCAAAGGAATTGCAAGATTTCACCAATTATATTAACTGAAACCCAAAGTATATTTATATGGGGATATTTCTTAATGGTTTTGTATTAGGGCAGAAGAAATACAACACTGTATTAGTCTATGTGTTTTTAAATAGGTTCACTAAGAGGAGATTCTGGATTCAAAGTGTTACGTCACGTAACTAGGGGTGACTCTAATGATGTGCCTGAAATCTAGACCCAGAGGTGACCCATGCTGAATAAAATGGAGATGCCACATCTTCCTTATTACAATGTAGTCTATAGGAAAGTATACAAATATTTAGGGAGATTGGTTTTAATATGATAGATGCTCACCTACCTGTTAAATAGGTCCCCTGAGAGGCTCCAGAGGGTTTTCCCTTCACCAAGACTTCGGACTCCCTTCACATCAGCAAAGGCTACCTTGGAATCCTTAAAGAACTTCTCAGGGGTGTTTCTCTGAAAGTCTGGAATAAGGAAATGCTGCTGCAGAACTGGGCTTCTTAAATTTAATGAGGATGGTGGAATTCCACAAGGACAGGAAATAAAGTACTGCATTTCACTATCAAAGACCATATGGGAATGGTTACCATTAAAGGGCAGCAGAATCAAAGACGTAAGGGAACTGGTTTGACCTGCAAAGATTTTGGCTAATTGATTATGGAGTCCCTAAGGCTAAAACAGACGGGCAATACTACTGAAGCCTTACTTGATTTGTTTAAGCATAACATCTCTAGACTTTGTGAAAAGAGGTCTGATTTGGATCACCACATCAGGACATTGCATTCCCTTGGTCAGTCTCCATATGAGAACAGGTTCACTGACTCAGAGTCCTTGAATGAAGGGGAGGGTGGGTCATTTTAAGGAAGGATCCTCCTACATTGTCCAATTTTATACTGTAAATTTACCTTCAAGTTTTCCCTGATGGACACAATGTACTTACTGGAGGAAGGGGAAAAAAAATCAGACTTTTTCATGATTAATGAATCTCATCTGATACTATTCCTGGTGATCCTAAACTCCTACTGTAGCCCCAAAGTCAGAGCAAGAGTGTATGGAAGTCAAATAATTTAACCAAATTTTGACTTAAATCTGTCTCATAAGGATACCAAGAGTCTCTGAAGCCCCTCACCCCCATAGTTATCTTCCTAATTCTGGAAGGCATATTTGGAATAGAAATACTTAGAAACTGACAGACTCCTGCTTACCTTGTTGGTTCCATGATCTAGAGAATGAAGACTTTTAAAATGATAATGGCACTATAGACAAAGGGCTGATATCCAAGATCTATAAAGAACTCCTCAAACTCAACACACACAAAACAGATAATCACGTCAAAAAATGGGCAGAAGATATAAACAAGACACCTCTCCAAAGAAGACATACAAATGGCTAACAGGCACATGAAAAAATGTTCATCATCATTAGCAAACAGGGTGATTCAAATCAAAACCACATTGAGATACCACCTTACACCAGTTAAAGTGGCCAAAATCAACAAGACAGTAAACAACAAGTGTTGGAAAAGATGTGGAGAAAGGGGAACCCTCTTACACTGTTGGTGGGAATGCAAGTTGGTGCAGCCAGTTTGGAGAACAGTGTGAGATTCCTTAAGAAATTAAAAATAGGGCTACCTTATGACCCTCCAATTGCACTACTGGGTATTTACAATACCATCCACTAATTTACCAAATACCTCATTTCCTACTGGTATTCCAGATATTTGTTTCTGTTTAGGGAACCCATGTTACCATAAATAAAAAGTAGCACAGGCCCCACACTCAACGTAAATCTCTGGTACTACCATGTTCTCCCATCACCCTCTAGCAGATGGTCTCACAGAAAGGTGCAATGACTTTTTAATTTTTTCTTTAATATTCAGTTCTAGAACAAGTTGGATGAAAATATGCCGACAATATTGTGTATGGTCTGATTCATCTGCCAATACAGATTTGCTATTTCTACCTAGATTCATGGATTTAGGAATCAAGGGACATAACTGAGAATGTCTCCTCCTACTAATTTTTACCTCTCTCATGCCCCAACTCTCTTACTTAAGATGTGTGGAAATTGGTTAATTTTAAATCTAAGCAATTAAATGCACGATATACATAAGTGCGGGGCCATCTAGAAACTAAATACCCCCTCCGCTTTAAATGAAGGTGAAACACACGAATGAGAGAAGCCTCACAAATGCACAGGTGTAGAGGTTTTACTCTACTTACACTCTATCACGTGAGCCTACACAATTTCAGGGCAAAAGACAGAATACCCCTCCCTGGGTTAGAGGCAAAGGACTTTATTACTCACTGCAAGAGCAGTAGCAGAGAGTCAGCATTTTCTGGCACTGGTTTCCTTACCCCTAATTGCCCCAGAGGGACATGAAGAGAGCCACATAATATCTGCACATGCAGTGGCTTGTACCACAGGAGAGGGACCCCCATTTTAGGGACAGAAACCTATTTATAATGAGAAGTCAGCACGTCTGCCCTTTGCTCCACCATCTCGATCTTCTAAGGCTGCTTGTTATACAAACATTCCTTAGAAGATGGTCCCGAGCAAGAGTAGATGGTTCCGAGATGTGCAGAGATGGAAGAGACCTATGAAGAATGCCTCCTAATAGGAAGCTTCACAAATTTTATTGAAAAAAAAATCTAGAAATCATGTGAATCATGTACAACATTTTCTCACAAGAAAACATTTAAGCTGGTTTTTTAACGTTTCACAGAAGTGCAAAACATTTTTAGTTTTCAAAAGGAAAAAAAACACAATGAAACTACCACAGTATTATAAGTGTTTCTTTTTTTTTTTTTTCTTGTTTCTAGGGAAAAAGCTGAAAAATATTTGGTAAATTTTTTCCTTACGATTTGTGAGGCTAAGTACTATACTCTTTAACAAATCTGCTAAAAAGATACAAGGAAATGGGTGGATCACTGCTTTCTTTGTTCAAAATATTTCAAAAAGCTAAAATCTAATGACAACATGTTAAAATAATACATATTTTTGTAGGATGTTACCATTTCTATAATGGTTTCTCTACACTATATCAACAGTGCAATGGTGATTCAGTGTAAATCATTACAGTGTTTCATTGTTACAATACTTGTGTTCAAGTACATGTTCATGAACATGATCAAAGTCTCTATTTTGACTTTTCTTTTCCATTATTAAAATAAGGTTATAATTACAGTAGAATTTTTCCTGTGGATATCTCTAAATCTGAACCAAATTCATAAGACATTCTCTAAAAACCTGTTCAACACTATGAGGTTTGTTATGTTTACACATTTCCTGTAGCTTACAGAAAATGGGCTAATTCTGCATCAGGACACCAAAACCCAAAAATGACTTCTCTCCATATAAAACTAAACTATTACACTAAGTTAGTATACATTCTGGATAACTCAGCGGTATTGGCGGGGAGAGAATAGCACCTAGAGACAGCCCTAACTGAAAAAAAAAATTTTTTTTTTAAGAGCCTAATGATCTTGTTTTTTTCTTATTTTCCCCTCCTTTTTATTTTGATTCTGGAAACTGGATCCAACTTATTCATATAAAATTATTCATATAAATTTATGAAGCCATATAGTATAAATCGAAATGTTTGTATATCCAAAACAAACACCATATTGGATGTTTGGCAGGCACAAAAATAAATTAATTTGATTAAATTATATGTAATCTGATAATATTTGGTCTGAAAAACATGCTAGTGTGTGTGTTTATAAATAATGTAATTGCAAAGAGCTGTGAGCCAGCCAGCCTGCTCGAGGTCAACTCTTCTGCTGAAGCTTTTGGGCATAGAAGTCCCTACATGTCTCACAGCAGCGCTGATACCAGCGCATGTCCTGACATAGGTTCTTCTCGCGTATCACTCGGCAGTACACGGGCCACTGATCTCCCAGGCACTTGAACGTCAGCGCGGCTGTGAAGCAGAAATGAGGGAACTCAATACAGGCAGATAGCCTAGGTGTCAGGAGTAGAAACAAGTAGCAATCATTTAAGTGGGAGGATTGTGAACATTCACGTCGACTCATTTAATACTACTGTTGACTCATTTAATACTATCTTCTGGAACTTGAAAGACACACACACACATCCTATAATAAGAAATAAAATGAATGAATAATGGTCTCACTTAGGAGCTCGTTCAGACTCATTAAAGCTAGATTTCCCAAATTCAGTGAGTTGAAATACACATGGCTTTTAAGGTTCAATTTTATGGATTTCATTTAAGTTTCTTGTGGATTTTCAGTTGAGAAGATTAAAAATAAAAAATGACTTTGCTCACTATATCCACTTTTATGGGATATAAATGAATAAGTATGGTTATGGATGAAAGCAAAGCAAATACTCTCACACTTATCCCACATTCCTTATTTCTTAGAAAGCAGACATATCTAGGTGGACTATCTGGGGATCTTGATTTCCCAGATCTTTAAAATCAGAACTGATTATCAAAACTGACTGAAATTCACAGTAATAAAATATGTGGAATCTTTCTTTTGCCACCATTCTAAGATGACTCATTATTTTACTTTCAAAACCTCAGGTTTTCCACTGTGCTTGTGTGTGTGGCCATATACCTTCAAGAAATAATAAATAGAGAAAATGTAATTTTAATTAAAAATTTTTAATCCATTATTTTCTGCCACATGATACTTCAAGAAGGACTCAAGCTAATTGCTAGAGGAAGGGATTATGTTGTTTTGAATACATGGATTTAGGGCATCTGCTCTAGGATTGCTTAACTTTTTGTCTTAACTATGCTTAATGCCATTTGAACTGATTATTTCCTAGAAACGTTAATTATTTGGCTTGAAAAATCGAATTTTTGTATTTCTATGAAGAACCAGACTTTTCCATTTGATTGAATCCTATGCATAAAAAATACCTAAGACAATTAAACTCTTTGAATTTTGGCAATATTGTTCTGTATGATTAAATTGTTTCCCTGTAGATTGTACACACAGATTAAAAGTGAAGGTAGTAAACATAAATTAACCCAATGACAGTCAGGCAGTGGTGCTGTTAAAAGTCCCTAATTGCCAAAGAAATAAAGCCTAATTCATTTATGAAAAATTTTTAGGCAAGTGCAAGCTATATTTACTTAAAATGCATAATCTACTTCTTGATGATAGATTAAACAACATGAATTGAGAATATATATGAAACTATTTATAACATAACAAACTATGTAAATCAATATGTTACCAGCATTTATTTGTATATAATATTATGTCCTTAAAGATTCAAAAACTGTTACCTCTTTTTCAGTGGTTTAGATCCAGGCGCCCACTCTTCTTGAAAGCCTTTTTTACTCTATGACTCTCCAAAGGACAATTTGTACCCAGGATCAAAAGGAAGGCTATTAACAATGGAGAGATCTAAGATATATACCCCAACCTCACCCTTCCAGAGATATTACCTTCATCAATAGTTCTGCCATGAAACTGGTCAGAACACCAAATATATCTACATCCTGCAACTCTTTCTAAGATGACCTTGAGAATGTGGCATCCATATTTTCAGGGCCAGGCTGAGTAGACAGCTTCAGGAATCCTAAGTGTTTAGTC